TTGAAAAAAATGCTACTGAGTGATGATACCAGGAACCTGCTAAAAATGTAGACAATTTAATGAGTGAGAGAGCATTTTGCAAGATTTCTGAAATGCAAGAATTGTTTTCATTTGAGGATCGTTCTTGAATTGTGCTTTGAGTGATATGCTTGAATAAATGTTTGTATTTAGATTTCAGACAGAGCACAAACTTAGAAGTATTACTTGTAGAAGCTCCAGATAATACGTTAATTTAAAAAGTCAAACTTGTGGAGCTAATTTGCTGTGTATTTTCTTGTGCTTCTGCCTTCAAACTGTGCTGTAAACTTTCTTAGCTTTCTACTAATCCTTGGTTTTAGCCAGCCTGCAAGTGCCATGAAAACAGAGGAAGCCTGCATATTTTCTTGGTTCTCATTCCAGGCAAAACAAGGAGGTAGAAGTGAATACAGAATTGTTAACCTAATTTTGTTAAAAATCAAAATTGATACGAAGTTTTGCATATTAGTGTAGAGTTTTTCTTATTTGTTTTTTCAGCTTTGAAATATTTGGTCTCTTTTCAGCCATTCAGAATGTCAGTTTTAAAGACATGTTGGTATTGTTATTCAGTGAAAATTGTAATTTAAGTGTGTTCACTCTTTGGGTGCTTTAGAATTCCCCAGGTGCAGATTGCAAGCATGTTTAAGTTAAAATACAAATATTTTCCAAAGCTGTAATTTATGTAGGAGGTGTTTGGTGACTCTGAGTTACTGGATACAGCTTGGGTTGGAACAAAGCCTAGAAGCTGTATTTTTGTTGTGCTAGCATATTGCAATGGCGGAGGAAAACAAGGAAGGAAGGAACAAAGATCTCAACAAATCTGTCCATGTTGCGATCTTTACTAATCCACTTTCTTTAGAAGTATCTCAAAGTATACTGATCCTTGGTTATGCACAAGTGCTTTACAGTATAGTGCTATAGAGGGCAGCAATACTAAAATACAGATAATTCATTTATTTTATACGCTGTATAGATATTGCTCGCCTCAGTCACCAAGGTGAGCAGCTCCAGTACTGGCAGGACCTGCAGCAGAGCGCTCCAGCGCAGTGCGTGGGGAGGGCTCCTGAATGGGGGCGACCTCGGAGGGAGCCGAGAGACCCACCAGGAGCCCACAGCTTGCATGACAGCAGTTGACAAGACCTGGTTGGGGCTGAACCCCCCCCCCCAAGAAACCTGTAGGGAGTGCTAGCAACCAGGGAGGGCAACACAGGGCATGGTGCAGCAGTATGCATGCAGGAAGGGTGCTGTAGCTCTGCCGGCTTGACCGTGGAGCAATGGTATCCACCTAGCAGAAGGCTGTGCCTTCTTTAAACTCTGTGCCCACCACGACCGGCGCAGCTTCCAAGACAGGGCTCCAATGGGAGCATGCTGCCACTCAAGTGTCAGGCTGCAGGCTGTTCCCAATATGCAGACTGGACTCACTTCTAGGGAAGTCTGCTGCCTCCCTTGTGCCCGGGTTAAAGACATGAACAGAAAACTTCCTACCCTGGTACGGCCCTCAGATTATTATCCATTATTGATTTTTCAGGTAGGCAGTGATGAAGTTGCAATAAGAAGTCCAAGGGCAATCAAGAGAGACTTCAAAGCCCTGGGACGACGGGTGAAGAGATCAGGAGCACAAGTAGTGTTCTCCTCTATCCTTCCAGTTGCAGGGAATGGTGAGGGAAGAAACAGGAAGACCCAGCAGATCAATACCTGGCTCTGAGCCTGGTGCCACTGGCAGAATTTCGGGGTTTTTGATCTGTCTACATGACACCAGGCCTGCTGGTGACAGACGGGGTACACCTGTCTCAAATGGGGGAAAGGATCTTTGCGCAGGAGTTACCAGGGCTCACTGAAAGAGCTTTAAACTAGATTTGAAGGGGGAAAGGGTTAAAACCAGACTTGCTAGAGATAAGCCTGGGGGTCGTATGCCAATGTTTGAGGGACGGTGTGCTAGCAAGGTCCTTCAGTCTGCTCCACGATGTGCTGAGTACACTGGAGCACATCTGAAATGTCTCTAAACTAATGCGCACAGCATGAGGAATAAACAAGAGGAGCTAGAAGCTTTGGCCTAGTCGCAGAGCTACAACGTCATCAGCATAAGTGAAACCTGGTGGGATGAGTCCTCTGACTGGGGTGCCATGATGGACGGTCATAGGATCTTCCAGAGGGGTAGGCAGGGCAGGCAAGGTGGGGGTGGGGGTGCTGTATGTAAGGGAGGAGTTGGATTGTATGACACTTACAGTTGGTGATGGCATGGTTGAGAGCCTTTGGGTAAGGATGAAGGGGAAAGCAAATAAAGTAGGTGTTCTTGTGGGGGTCTACTATCGACCACCCAGCCAGGATGACAACACCGATGACTTATTCTACAAGGAATCTCTAGATCAGCTGCCTTTTTGTCCTTATGGGTGATTTTAACTTCCCAAACATCAACTGGAAATATCACAGAGTGGACACAAACAGGTCCAGGAAATTTCTGAAGCATGTTGAAGATAACTTCTTGGTGCAGGTATCTGACTAGGAAAGGTACCCTGCTAGATTTGTTGTTTGTATACAGAGAGGGACTTGTGGGCCAACTGGTGATTGGTGGCTGTCTTGGTCACAGTGACCACAAAATAGTTGAGTTTCAAAAGTTGGCGATAGGAGAAGAACTGCCAGCAAAACTTTGATCCTGGATATGGGGAGAGCAGACTTCGGGCTGCTGAATGATCTAGTTAGTGAGGTCCCCTGGGAATCTGCTTTTGAAGGTGTTGGGGTCCATGAATGCTGGTTACTTTTTAAGAACCATCTCTTAAATATGTTAATAGCAAAAGGAGAATCAGAAATAGCATTGGGTCGTCACTTGACGAGGTTGGTCACCTCACAAACAGGAACGTAAACAAAGCGGAGACATTTATTGCCTTCTTCCCCTCTGTCTTCAACACCGATGATGGGCCCTGGGAACCCCAGAGCCCTGTGTTGGAAGACCATGCTTGCAGGGATGATAAACTCCCAGCCGCCCCTGAACATGTTCAAGACTTGCTGCTTCAGCTGGATGCGCATAAATCTGTGGGGCCCAATGGGATTCATCCCAGGGTACTGAAAGAACTGGCTGATGTCATTGTGGGACCTCTCTCCATTATTTTTCAATGGTCTTGGGAGTCTGGAGAGGTCCTAACTGACTGGAAGCTAGCAAATGTTGTTCCAATTTTCAAGAAGGGTAAGAAGGAAGACCCTGGTAATTACAGGCCTGTCAGTCTCGCTTCAGTGCCTGGAAAAATTATGGAGAAGGTTATTCTGCAAGTTACCAAAAAACACTTGAGAGACAATGCAATCATTGGTCATAGCCAGCACAGTTTCATGAGGGGAAAGTCCTGCTTAACCAAATTAATTTCCAGTTATGACAAGGTCACCCATAGTTGACCAAGGGAAGTCAGTAGATGTGGTGGGTTTGGATTTTAGCAAAGTTTTTGATACTGGCTCTCACAGTATCCTTCTGGATAAACTGTCCAGCACACAGCTAGACAAGTCCATAATACGTTGAGTGAGCAATTGGCTGATGGGTTGGGCTCAGAGGGTTATAGTAAATGGGATTACATCAGGGTGACGGCCAGTCACCAGTGAGGTTCCCTAGTGCTCAATTTTAGGGCCAGTGCTCTTTAATGTTTTTATAAATGATCTGGATGCAGGATTTGAATGTACATGAAGTAAACTTGCCAATGGTACTAAACTAGGAGGAGCTGTGGACTCCCTCAAAGGTAGAGAGGCCTTACGGGGAGATCTGGATAGACTAGAGAGCTGGGCAATCACCAACTGTATGAAATTTAGCGAGACCAAGCACTAGATTCGCCACCTGGGTTGGGGAAATCCTGGTTAGACATACAAATTGGGGGATGAGAGGCTGGAGAGCAGCCCTTTGGAAAGAGATCTGGGGGTTTGGGTTGATGACAAGTTGAATATGAGTCAACAGTGTGCCCTGGCAGCCAAAAGGGCCAACCGTGTCCTGGGGTGCATCAAGCACAGCATAGCTAGCTGGTCGAGGATGGTGATTGTCCCACTCTCCACTGCACTGGTGTGGCCCCACCTTGAACAGTTTAGGACGCCTCAATATAAGAAGGACATCATACTATTAGAGTGTGTCCGGAGAAGGGCTACCAAGATGGTGAAAGGCCTTGAAGGCAAGACCTACAAATAGCGGATGAGGTCATTTGGTTTGTTCAGCTTGGAGAAGAGAAGGCTGAGGAGTGACCTCATCACAGTCTACAACTTCGTCAACAGTGGCAGTGGAGTGGGAGGTACTGATCTCTCTCTGGTGAGCAGTGATAGGACACAAGGAAATGGAATAAAGCTGCATCAGGGGAAGTTCAGACTGGAGATTAGGAAAAGGTTCTTCACTGAGAGGGTGGTCAGTTACTGGAACGGGCTCCTGAGGGAGCACCAAGCTTGACAGAGTTCAAGGAGCCTCTGGATGATGCTTTTAGTCATATGGTTTAGTTTTAGGTAGTCCTGCAAGGAGCAGGGAGTTGGACTTGATGATCCTTATGCGTCCCTTCCAACTTGAGATATTCTATGATTCTATTTTGAATATACAAAAGTTGACATTGCACGTTCTGGTTTTATGTTTATAAATTCTGTTTCATGATCTAGAAATGTTTCATATACTTGTTAGTTTTAGGAAAGATATGCTTGTAGCCTCCCTCCATTTCTTATTCTTAAAAATTTTAAGTTTTGGAAAGAAAAAAAAGAATAATATTGTGGTTTTTTCCTGTGATATACTGATGGAATGGAGTTTAAACCATCCTTTTATTCATGCAAATCACATTCAGGAACAGATTATATCTCCTTTTTATGTGCTAGCTGGCATATGCATATAAAAAGTGAACAGATTAAGAACATTCCTTTTTATTGCATCTTTCATCTCAACAAGTTTATTTGTATTTAGTCATGGGAATAAATTAGATGTGCAAACTGTAGTCTGTCTTTTAATGAAAAAAACTGATATTTTTTCCTTTTAATTCTGATAGGAAATAGTTCTGGTTGTGTTTTTTGGTGCTGAATATGTGGTCCGATTGTGGTCTGCAGGCTGCAGGAGTAAGTATGTTGGCCTCCAGGGAAGAATACGGTTTGCCAGAAAGCCAATATCAATTATCGGTAAGATTTAAACTCTTTTTTGCCTTAACTTTGCTATTATCATCCATTTTAAAATAAAGGTCTCAACTACTGCAGAGACTGTGTTGCAATTCTGAGCTATGTCTATCACTCAAGCATTTATCTACTTTGTGAACCTATGCAATTACTTATTCTTTTGGATTGCTAGAACTGAACGTTTAAAATATGGCTGTGAGACCCAGGCAGACATCAGCATAAGAAAGGTAAAATTGTGAAGTCAAGAAATCTTTACTAAATCTACTTGTGTAATTGGAGAAAACTGACAAATTTTGAACACAAAATCCTTTCTTAGGTCTGCTGTAGAAAGCAAACACAAAGGTGAGTATGAATTGGGAAAAACATGGGAACGTGCAAAGTATAACTCAGGAAAAATGCCCCCAGGTAGTACTAACATTAAGCCGTTTTAGATAGTTTGAGGGACTATTGTGGGTAGCACCTCTGGAGTAGGAGAGAGCTTAGGGGGAGAGGTGAATAATAGAACCTGTGAAACAGTGAGGGATTAATAAAAGGTGATATTCGGACAAAATTGTAGTACACCATAAAATCAGTGTTTCTTTTTTAAGCCTGTGATTTTATATAGACTCCAGTAGAGCTGTGAATTTTACGTTGCTCAAATATCAACTCATTGAGTTTTAAATAAAGCAAAGTGGGAGAAGTGAAAAGGCTTTCCTTAACCATCTGTGACTTTATGAAACTTGGTGCAAAAACTCAGGAAACAACATATTCTATTATACATCTAGATGTGGGTAGTGAATAATGTGACGAGATACTGTACTCAGGTTTGGGTTTTTGAGAAAGAAGTGTTTCATTACATACAAAGAAATTCTTTAGCTGCTTCTAGAACTGTTATAGTTTCATGATCCAACTGTGAAGTCTATAGGTAACTTTTTTCTACTCATGGTGTTCTTGACTTCTCTTTCAATTAAGAAATGCTTCTTAGGTAGGTATGTTAGAGTACACAGGTGCAGGAGAAAATGTGGCACTCCCATTAAACTATGATTTCAACTTGATGGTGGTTCTTTATACTGGTATTGTGCATCTTCCACAGTAAACATTAATGTTTGTATAGCCCTTGGAGAAGATACGCTGGTTTTTGTTAAGAAAAGCTAAGAATGACTACAGCTGGTTGTGCATTGAAAGGTATCAGTACTGTTTTTACATTTAAAGTTCACCTAAGAATACAATACATTTAAAGTCAAGATTTGTTTTTGCATATCAAATGCAGATGGAACTGTGTCTACACTAATCCAAATAGCTAAACTTGGGAAATACATTTGCTGTGAATGATAGAATCATACTGACTCATCCTATCATTTTCAAATCAACAAGCATAAAATACAAACGCTATAGAAAAATAAATTAAAGTATTAGTACAGAATGTAAAAAATAAGGTATTAATTTTACTTTTGCATTCATGTAAAAGTCTTTATTTTAAAATCAGAAAATATAATTGAAATGTCTTTGAAATCAGAGAGATTTCCTTTATGAGTTTTTGTCCACACTAAAATTTGGATTAATTCTTAGAAAGTTCAACTTGGGTAGCAGTTTTGAACTTCTTTAATTTCTGCCATTCTCTTTCCTTTTTTCCTCTCTCTTATTGTAAATAAAAACTGGTTTGGTGCTTACTACCAGAAAGAGATTAATAGTCAAGCCTAGTTATTACTTTATTTTATAAGCTTGTTTAATATTATTGTATTCCATGCTGCATAAAATAGTATGTTAATGTGCAATTTCTATAACTGGGGAAGGAAAATAGGGGGCACACTATTTCTTGAACGGTCTTTAAAAATTTTATCTAAAATGGAAAATGATGCAACTTCTCTACCTTGTAAATCAAAATTTTTTCTTTCTTAGGTAGATTTTCTAAAGTTAGCCTAATTTTTCTCCTCTTTGCAGACAGATTATAGGTGATTACATGTAAGTGAGAAAAGAGAATTCTATAATTAAAGAACCTGTCAGGAGACATAGATTGAATTCATTCCCAGCATACCAAGAATCTGTAGAAAAATCAATTTGTCTGTCCATGCTTCTTCATTCCCTAGTTCACAGAGTGAGCATGTTTAAAGAGTGTGCAGTGCTCATGTACTATGGCAGAAGCTGTAATACTGATACTTTTCCTAAATTCTGATTTAACACTTCCATTACTTACTATTTCAGTAGGGTTAGGTTAGAAGCTAAATGCTTCTGAAAATCCCCTAATTAGGGTTTTATGAAAGGCAGGTACCAAGCACAGGAAAAATCAGGAGAATATCATTTCACAACCTCTTTTATCCTTTTGTTGTTGTTGCAGAAAATGTCACAAAGAACCAATTTAGGAATTAACTTTTGTTTCTCCTGGCTTTGACAGCATGCAGTTTGAAAGATATAAGGGGGACATAAGTTACTGGTGCAAAGACCTGAGTCCACATATATGTGTCCATCTCATATTGTCCTTAAGTAAAGGACAATAGAACTTTATTTATGAGCACCTTTAAATGGTTATGTATACAGCTCTGAAAAAGCATCAGCACCTGGTACGTAAAGCTCCAGTTACCTTGTATAAACCTAATTTATGAAGTGCCGATAGAACACAAAAGTTCAGCAAAAAAGAATGTGATGTAAATCAAATTCAAATGTGTGCATATAATCTGTTTAATTTAAGTCCTTATGGACGACATATTATCTCCGGACTACTAAGAACACACCTGAAAGCTGAGGGCTATTTACATTCTGTAAAATACTCTGGCAACTAAAAATTAAAATACAAATGCAAATATTTTTACTGTTTTAAATTTTAAAAGGATTAATTGCTTTTAATAAAAAAGCTGAGAATTGCATACTAGAAAGTAAACTTGTGAGAACATTAGAATTTCCTCAAAAAAAGCAGTACTCAAGTAAGCTGCATTATAGGTATTGCTATGTGCTGTGCTGAAGTTTATGCATAACCAAGCAATATTTCACTGGCAAGCTGATTTTTTTAGATAAAAATGGCAGCTGTTTGGAATTTCTCAAGAATTCAGAACATAAGAGTAAGCCATGGGGACAGTAGACTAGCAGTGGATGAGGTTTTCAAAGCTGTGTACTACACATGCTAAATTGCAGGGAATGTGGTTTATGTAGGTCTGTCATCGACATATGTAGTGCACATAGTATATAGAAGATGCTATGTCATTTTTGTCTCTCTACACCTCGTGTATATACAGACATGTTTGCAAACATGTAAGTAGGTAGAATGTTTGAGAAGGATATCCACATATCGCTGTTTATAAATTACTGGAATTCAATTTTTATAATTACCAAGGCTTCCTGACACTTTCTTTTTTTAAGAACTAACATAAATACTAATGTAATACTAATCTAAATACTAATGCTTGTTAGAGTTGAAAAAGTTATTTAAACAAATGTTGGCTCTTTATCCTGATATTTTCCATGCCAAGTGTCTGATTCAGTTTGAGTCCTGTGGAGACGTTTCATGCAAAATGCTTAAGCTGTTCCTGAAAAAGTCAATTCTGGCGATTTCTTGTGGAGAAGCACTAGCACTTCCACACTTTGAAGCAGATACTTGAAACTTAATGAGAAAATAGCCTTTTGCTTTTCACTGAAAATCAACTCCAAGCTGACTGACTAACAAGCCTCTGAAAAATTGGTAGCTTGTTTATGCTTAAAACACCCTGCTAGAGAATGCTTTTATATTCATCAAAGATTCAATCTGCAGTGAGCTTGCAGAATTCAAATTTCAGGTTTATCAGAGCAGCAGTGCTGGGGCTGTAAGTGGAAAATCTGTTGATTTTGGTTTTATAGTGCTCTTCCTGAAACTGCCCAGGACACACGGAAAGGGAAAATACCATGCTCGAATGCTGAGGTGAAGTGTTGGGGTAGGAGGAATGGACTGGGACATACAGGCTCGGTGAAATGACAGGAGGATGGATGCTGATGTAAGGATCTGGGAGGAGGACATATAAAGAGACTGACAAGCAAGCAGGAGGTTGAAGGAGAAAAAGTAGGGGCTGAAAATACATGGGATTGAAAGGTGCCAGTGTAAGGGCAGAAGGATACGCTGAAGACCTAGAGTGTAAATAAGGATTGTTTGAACCAGTAACCTGGGATTAGTATGACAAGCCTAAAGGCTGGAAACTGGCATGAAAACTAGAACAGAGAAGTAGAGATAGAAGAACAGGTTTGAGGGGGAAAAAAAAAGAAATATCTCTACCATGTAGAACACATTTTCAGAAAACTGGAAAGTAGAAATGAAAAATCTATGTTACTGTCACTACCTGATTGAAACTAATTTCCTAAGTGTCAGTCTTTTCATCCTTCAGTGCTGGTCATCGGATGGATATGTATATGTCTGATAATTTACTAAGGGCATGGGGTGCATCATTTGCATTGCTGTATTATGATGTGATGGGAAGAAAACCCTCCCTAAATTCTGTGTGTTTATAAATGTATGTTCACACTTGTACATGATAAAGGGACAGCATATAAAATTTGGAAGGTCACATACTCAAAAGTTAAAATTATCCTAAAATGGAAGCTCTTTCTGTAGCCTTAACTTATCCCTCCCTATATTTATTTTCATTTTCATAAAGGTACAATTATTGTAGTACAGTCTTTAAACTGATTGAGTGCTATCCCTGCTTTTACAGCAAAAATCAGACTGTTACTGGAATTTAATCCAAGTCAGAGAGTGAAGGATGCTGTTGGTTGTAGAACCACTGCAATATTTGTTGCAGCAAATACCTGTTGTAAATTAGGCAGGAGAATGTTTAAAGGAGAGGGAAAAGAGTTACCCTTGTTGAAGGCAACTGTTGTTGCCTCTGAAGTCGGATTCTATCCTGCATCTTGCCTAGGCATCACACGGAAACTCTGTGGCAGTCATTTAAATCAGTTTTCACAAGTGTGCCTCATTTTCTGGATGTCCAAATGAAGACTTTGAAGTCAGGTTACAGAGGTTCTGAGCTCTCACAGCTGCAAGTGAAGTCAGCAGGCACTATTTTTTTTTGAAGTGCTATATAACGTTAAGGGCTCTGAAGAATAAAGTACTGCCTGTTTAAAACTGGCAAGCAAAATTCACCAAAACTTTTCCTCATTCTGGCTACATTTGCTACCCATTTATAATACTATCCTTTATTTTCTGATCAGAATTTGAAAGTGAAGCATTTAGATGCTCTAAAGAGGATTACCACAGAAACGCCTATGAGGAAATTAGAAAAATGTCTTCTCAGAATAGTGTTAGAACAGGGTTCAATAATTAAAAGCAATAGACCTGTTCACTGAACTAGGACAAGAGAAGATAAGGGATGCTGGCACTGTGAACACAATCCATCATTTGCATTGTATAATGCTGGAACTGTGTAAACTGTGGAGTTGTGGAAAAAAAATGAAACTCTGGAAACAATTATTTTTTCATACAATTAAAGACTGTATCACAAAGTAAAACAACAACTCTGATTCTTTTTAGGCAGCCTTTGTTCTGACAGTTCCCTAAACTTTGAAAACTTGGCTTTACATCTTTGATACAATTTTTAAATTAAGTGTATGTATGTGTATATGTGCGTGATACTTGCCTTTATGCATTTCATTACTGATCTAAGCAAACCCTTACTTTCCTTCTTAAGTCAAGAGACTTGATCCAAAATGTGGATTCATTTCTAGGGTGTACATATGCCTTGCCTTTGTTATTTTTGTGGCAAGCTGCCTGATCTTCCAGGATCTTTAAAATTTCCATTATTACATCAGTCATGGAAGAAACTATAGTCATTGGTTTTTTGATGTGAAACTATTACATTAACTTACTACCCACCAAATTTCAGCTAACTTACTTAATTTATTTTTTTAAAATGCTTTCCTCAGTCTGTATTCATTGTGTGTTTCAGTGCTGAGAGCTAACATTTAATACATTCTTTTTTTTTTTAACAGATCTAATTGTGGTAGTAGCATCAATTATTGTTCTGAGCATAGGATCTAATGGACAGGTGTTTGCCACCTCTGCAATAAGGTATGTTCTTCTAGTGACTGTAGCTCTTCACAACTGCAGATATTATTGGATGTCTATCTAATTTCCCAATTTCCCAATTAGATGTATATATAATTTTCCTAATATAGGAAAAGTTATTACATTGAAACACTGGACAGTGGAAGACTGTGTGTTATTGTGCTTGGTCACTGGTTGGGAAACAAGAGTACAGAAACAAGGCATATGAAGAATGGTGGGAATGCTGAAGCCAAGAGGAAAAAAATAAAGAAATATTATGTCCTATATAAAACATCAAACAGCTCTCTTTGTGAGACAAAAGAGTATTACAGAACATTGGTTTATTTAAGAAGTAATCCAGACAGCACTTAGTATTTTTTGAGTATGAGTAATTACTTTGTTTAAAGAGTAATTATGCTTTGGTGGATTTGTTTGGCACGAGTAACTCAAACCATACATGAACCAGAAACATTTGATGTCTACAGTGTTTGTTCAGCTTGCATCAAGTACTGCAAGCTTGTTTTGGGAAGTAAAGTGGGTAAATAGAAGAAAGGGATGATAAGCAGAGTAGGTGTGCCTCTGATTCCTTCGAACTTAACTTGCAGGATGTGCTGCATGTTCTGTCACAAGCCTCTGATTTCCAATGCAGTCTAATCACTGGGAAGTGAGAATGTACAGTACTATCTAAACCGTCTATCTGTGTAGGCAAATAATGGAGGGAACTACATATACATATGTAGTATGTAAAAATGCATATAAAGTATTTTTAAGGTAACTATTACCATAGAACATTAATACTTACATGATGATGAAGACTCACACAGACAGCATGAATGTGATTTATCAGCTCATATAGGAGAAGAGGAAGGTGAATGTGAAAATTCCAAAGATTTTGTTTAATTCAACTAGAAGTGTAGGAAGAACTTTAATGAAAAGGCCTGCTGTGTGTTTATATGTGAACCCAGGTGGCTTTGGGCTCAGTGCAGCCTTTCCCAGTGTTAAATTATACAGTCACTGTCCTACAACTCAGAATGCTTTCTGCCAGGGAAGCTTAACCCATGTCTCTGCAATGTTGTTATTGCCCCATTGAAAACCCACCTGGGTCAGGCAAGTCTTAGTCCCATCAGGTTTCCTCAGAACTGTGATGTGAGTGGATGTTTTTGAATTAAGAAGGAATGAATCTCATATCCTTGCCTTTGTTTTTGTTGCTTTTAAGGTATACTCTTATGGTCCTCTTTGGACCTCCCTTAAATCCCAGCAATCCCAGAAAACATGGGTGCATGCATGTTAGGTTGTTTTCTTGTAGAATGAAGTTGCAAGCTCCAGACCCACCAGGTATGACAGGTTGACATTTTGATCCTTGCAGCAACCATGGAGACTGAAAGCTAGTAGCACTGCAGAGTTCACAGTAGAGTCCTATAGACTTCTGTCCTTACTGTTTTAAGTTCTCCAAATTGATAAAAATGGTTGTCTTTCCAACCAATTTCTTTTCTCTTTTCAGAGTAAATGGGTTGTGCGTGTTCAGAGGCTGTGTATCTGGAGTTTCTTGTTCACTATCTTGTTTTTTAAATCTTCATTTGTGAAACCACTGGCCTATAACATGCTTGTCAGCGTTTAGCAGTAACATACCTATAACCATCTCAGATACAACAGAGACAGGAAAATCAAGAACTGCTATGAGGTCAAGGCATCAAGAGGTGTTTCTAATAATTGTATAGGGGAGCTACACATAGATCTCTCCCCTCCTGCCATAAGCAAGCAATGACCTATTACATTACATAAGTCTATTGGTGCTCATGTATTTGGTAGACTTGTAATTCTTCTTGGACTCCTGTTTTAATTAACAGGTTTTAAGTGGATATTTTAAAGTTTCCAGCTAATTAAAATTATTATTCCAATGGCATATCAAAGAAATAACAAAACATGGTGTTCATATACCCAGTCACTGATACGTGGTTTGATAGGATTGTGTGCTTTCCAAAAAAATGGCGAGCATTTGATTGTTTGACTGTCAACTGTGAAAGCTCAGAAAACCTGCTCTCTGAATAAAGGAAAAGTTGGGTCTTTCAGAAGACAGTATGCCTTCCCAGTCTGAGTAACACCAGTGACTGAAGGATGGGTGAGTTTCCTGCCTGCTGGTGTAACCCAGAAAAATGCAGCCACAGTGGAACTGAAATAAGAAGAATGAATTAGAAACCAACAACAACAACAAAATTTTAAGGACAGCTAAAAAGAGCTAAAAATACTTCTAGTGAAAATTTTTCAGATAGATTAATTCAACATTCATCCTTTCCTGCTCTTCATTGTTTTGTTTCAGTGATAAGATAGTAAGATGAGTGTAGGCAAAGTTAATTGTCAAAAGATTGACTAGAATGAAATATTTCCATTGAATAAAATTCTACTGAAGAACCATGAGGATAATTATTTTTCTTTAGTTGAAAATATTTGGAGTTCATGATTCAGTTATTGTCCTAAAAATCACATAGGACTGTATTTATTTCCAATTAGATGATTTCTCTAACTTACACAAAAAGGACTTCAGTAATACCATTTTTGATTCACATTCTGCTTTTGGCAAATAGAGAAAAAAGTTTGCTCATATTTATGTTAGCAAAGCCTGAAGCACTGGTTTTGCTTGGAAAGAAAGCATTTGAGAATCATAATCAGGTAAAATATGCAAGCTTCGTCTGAGTTTGAAAGCATATATTTTAGACTATTTTTCTTTTTCCTTTTAACTAATTGTTGTCCTAGTCAATATTTCTGAATATATTTGAATATAATGAAATGTGATCTAAACATACTGTCTACTGAGATGTCTCAAGCCTATGATGCAACCCTAAGCAGGGGCAATGCTATCACAGTTCTCTAATATGGCAGTATGTTAGTGAACATAGTCAACTGTGTATAGATAAAGCAGTATTGTTCTCAAACATTAGTTTTATTTAATGTCCTATTTTTCGTACAGGGGCATCCGGTTTCTTCAGATACTTCGCATGCTTCATGTAGATCGACAGGGTGGCACCTGGCGACTATTAGGATCAGTTGTTTTCATACATCGTCAGGTACTAGATCTTTAAAGATCCCCCGCATTTTGTTTACTTTAGCGTGTTCTTTTCATGGACTTCAAATTGTGGTCTGGTTTAAACAAACAGTTACTGTTGCAAGAGAAAAAGTACTTTAGAAATCCATCGTGTTTTTTTCTACTTTTAAAATGGGAACACTCTTATTTACTTCAGGTCAGGGGCTAACAGGGTACCAGCATCAGGTTTTTTTTTAAATTAACTGTTGTGCTCTTTGATGTTATCCTTCCTTTAATTTATTAAATGCAGTTATGTGGGCTGCCTTTCATATTGCAAATACTGTCCACTGTCTTCACAGAGGATGTGTTCCTATCTTGCTTGTTCTGTGGAAGAACAAATGCTAGTGGAAAAGCCTTGATAGAACAAGTCAATTATTTAAATAATTTGATTTTCTCTGCCTGAATAAGGAGTTTTCTAATCCATTCTATAAATAAAAATACTAACTATGTTATGATAATATGCAAGAAAAGTTACTTTTTCAAGGGTGTAGTCACAGAGGTAAACTTGGCTGTAAATAGTTATAGGTCCGTTAAAGCTTTGAAAAAGTTATTCTGTAAAAAAGTTCATTAAGCAGGAAAAGCTTACATGTTTTAGTGCAGACTTTAAAAATATTCTGGCTGAAGGCTTCTTTTTGGGACTTCATGGAATCTCTTGATGAAAAGCCGACTTAGCTTTATGAACATAATAAACCTTTTATCATTAGCCTTTAAATCTTGCATATTATAGCATACAGTGGAGGGCTGATACTGTGCTATGAATCTTTACATCAAACTTGTAAGGTGGTTCTTTAACCTACTCCTTATGAGTATAGATTTGTTCTCCAGATATTGACAAATAGTTATAGATTTCCACAGAGACGTTGTTTCATTTGCTATTTAGAAAACTGATATTATTGGGAGGTACTTAATCCAAAAGATTAGTTAACATTAAAAGTTACTTTTCTTCCCTTTATTTTTTTTCCCCCAGTACTGTAGGAAATTTTATGTCATGATGGCTGTGCAGCACTGATGCACACCGAAGTGCTCTAGTATAAAGCCTACTTTTATTCTGTACAACAGGATGACTTTTAATGCTCAAAGTCTGTGTGGTCTTCATTTATCATGGTCGCATTGCCTGGATATCTAGCTAGGGCAGAGCTGATATCCAAATACACTTTCTCAACATTTGCTAACTTTACTGACAGAGGTGTTTGAGAGCATTTTTTCCTGTGGGTGTTCAGAGTTTTAGTCAAGAATCTGGAAATACTGTCTCCAAAACATAACACTCAAGTCTTAAATGTCACAAACATAAATAAGTTCAATGATTTAAAAGGAAAAAAAAACCCCTTGGAGAAGTGAATTTATGAATAAACGCACCTGAAGTTCTGCTAATCCAAGGAAGTGATTATGACGATATATAAAAATCTACAGATCTATAGTACTTGTCAAAGCAGATCACCCACTAACACCTTAATAAAAAAAAATATCAAACACACAGTTCTGTATTGACATTGGACAAGTGTAGCTGAAACCCTAGCTAGCATGGTACCAAGTGGAAGGGAAAATGGAACCTTTATTCCTGTCCAGTCTCTTAAAGAAATTTTTGTTTTTAAAAAAATAAAACAACCCCCCCACCACCTCAGCTGCTTTTTCTTTACAGGCAGAGCACAAGGTCCTCATTTATTTGTTGAGTTTGGTACTCTTTCAGAAAAAATGGGACGCTAAACCCTTCAACAATGTGAGAAAATAAATCCACATCTTTGTGACCTGTGAAAATAACAAGCACTTGGACCTCTGTGGGCCCAGAAGAGCTTGCTAAAGTTGTCACCAATGATTTCCATGTTTTGGAATTTTACATATAGCTGTATTAGCTCACTCAGGCCCAATTTGGCCAGGATGCTCTTCTATTTTCAGCAGGTTGAGCTTATACAAGGATTTCTCGCCAAAAGCAACAAAACATGAGTCAAAATCACATGTGGTGATGGAAAGACATGGAAAAATCATGCAGCTTACTGAAAAACTGAGTTAGCCAATGCAGCTCTAGTTTGTAAGCCTCTCAATTAGTTTTACTTATTCCTCACCTTGCTTTGTGAGGTCTTCTACTGCTTTGAGGAGGGAGTTACTGATGAGTTGTGGATTTGAGGTTTTCTTGGGGTTTTCTTGTATTTTTTCTAAATGTTGAATTTTATATTGTGTGGTCCTTATTGTAACTGAAAATATAAATCTAAGTTAAAAAAAATGTGTTGACTCAAGTCTCTCAATATTCAAATTTACCTTTGTGTATCTTTGGGTTTTGTTCTTTGCATATGTGTATCTGAAAGTCCTTGCTGAAAACAGTCATTTGTATCACGCAGCACTCTCTATTCTTAAGCTCTTATCTGTTAAAAAATTATATAAATGTGAAGTTTTAAGGCCTGATTTCTGTAAAATGCTCTTTCCTTTGAGATCATGTATCAATGCACACTATTTGACATTGGTAGACACCAATCTATCCAAATTTGTTGAAGCATGGATTATTTTAAAATCTGCACTCTCTCTTAAATGCAGTATGTGTTAGATTGCTGCCATTGTTCTTAATAATTAAATACAGGCATGTAGTATTTTGTCTCTCTATACATATGTAACATGAAGTGGCATTTAGAATAAGTCTAAGGCAATTAAATTTTCATCTGGGCTTTACTTAAAGAGTTCAGTCTTTAGATGAATAGACCTGGAGCTGAGAGGTGCCAATGGTGAAATAAGCCGAGTAGTTCTGTTGATATTTCAACCACTTTGAAAGGATCTCATAAGACTATGCATAGCATTTCTGAAAAGCATATTTTTCTGCCTGGTTCTCAAAAAGCCAGCACTTAACACAGAGGTATTCCAGTTATCATCCACTCTCTAATTCTGTCCTCTGAGACAAAATTAAAAGAAAGCAGCGATGGCCATTCTTCAACAACATGTAAAATCTATTAATATCTGAGATGTAAACAACATGCCAAGTGTAACTAAGAGGTTTTTGTTGATGTGGAATGAAGTCACAAACCTACTAGAGATGAAAGGATAGTGTTTTCTTTGTAAGCAGGCAACAAGAATTAGTCTCCATTTCTGTTGTAGTTTTCTATGGATCACTGAACTTACAGTCTCAGGTGTTAAACAGTTTCATCTTGCATTGAAAAAACATTGTGTAGGCAAACCAAAAAGTTGTGAAAAATTAGAGAAATACAAATAGTCAACTATAAATGTAAACACAAGGAATTTTTAAGAGCAATGAAGTCATATTGACAAGTACACAGCGTACCATTTTCATTAGAGAAAAAGATGAGAAAAGAATGGTGACCAACATAGAAATCTGAACTGCTGAAAAACCAAGTTTTATTTCCTCTTTCAGGTGCCTTGTTTAGCAAACAGGCCTGCAAAAAGTTAAGGCTTAAATTAGAAGACTTGCCCATGGGCAAAACTGAATACTATCAAAATTTGTTATTTAGGTCATTATTAAATTATTAGAGAAAAAACACCTACTTTCCTTTGTGCCAAGATTGCTTAAAAACTTGCTGAACCTAGATTTTAATTAGTGCTATAGCAGAAGGAAGAATATATATAGTTCCCGCTGCTGAATGCAGTTACTAGCTACCAGGACTACATTTTCCCAGAAAGGTCTTATAAGGAAATGAAAAGAAAAAAATAAAAAAAATCTGAAGGAAGTCTGATGATAAAACCTGAGCCTTCCCTCACAAATGGTTTAAGAAAGGTGGGTAGATTGTTACAGAAAATCTGTGGAAACATGATATACTTTATAAGTAGAGGCAATCCTTCTTAGACAGGTCTTAATTTTGAATTTATCCTATGGGAATATTTTAGTTCCCGTATTGGTTTGGATCCAATGAAAGAAAAATAAATCTGTCAAGAATTTAAGGAAGATGCCAATGAAGATGTAGTACAACAATGTTTGATAATAAAGATGACTAAATATGTGCAAAGAAAATAAAGGAATAATATGTGTTAACTATTGAAGCATTGTAAACTTTAAGTATTTTAAATAACCTATTTTCCCTCATAACTAGGTATTGGATTTTCCTGAGGGGTAGATGAATATCTCATTTGACTACGATGTAGCGCTGCTTTTATAAAATTTACACATTTTTGCATCTGTGACACCCCACATTTTGGCTTGTTTAAATATGCAATCACATTTTTCCTAAACACTGTAACAATCCTGTATCTAAGTCACACCAGTTTTGATGCAACTTTATCATCCAAAAATCTATAGAAAAACTGGTACATTCACAAGGACTGTATTATGCCCTAACAAAAGTCCCTTCTAACGAACTGGCCTAGCCTCAAACAGTCTTTGTTTTTCAGCACTGAAGCAGAGGTTACACCTACCTAACACATTTTATCTTACGATTTTATTTTATCTTAACATGAAACTGTTAAGGCATCAATATTCAGTCTTAAGCAATCTAAATATCAGATACACAAGTTAATTGCTTAGATATGGTCATAACCACAAGACATGGTTGTTATTTCTTAACTGTTATTTTAGTGTACTGTTCGTAAAGTGCATTTCTAAAGCTGTTTTACTATTTTTAAAATGTATTAACATTTGGTATTTTGAGTGGACAGTTAAATGGAATGATTCCCATTCAGAAGACATAAAACAGGAGAGATCTCCCACCCTACATTTAGCTGTCAAAATGATCTTGTAGAAATGATGGCTTCTTGAAATCTTTAGTCTGATATGAATAGAAGACAAATCACTGAACTACTTGTTTTACTGGAAGCAAATTTCATATCTGAAACATAACTTATAAATTTTTCTACTGTGATGCAAAAAACCCCCAGATATTTACAATGTTTTACAATGATAGAATATATATGATGTAAACCTTATGCACTTGTTTGCTTTCTCTTTTAATAGGAACTCATAACCACGTTGTACATTGGATTCTTGGGATTAATTTTTTCATCCTATTTTGTTTATCTTGCTGAGAAGGATGCAATTGATGAGGATGGAAAGACAGGTTTCTCCAGCTACGCTGATGCCCTTTGGTGGGGTGTGGTAAGTCTTCAGCAACAAAATGCACGTGCAAACTTAGTGCACAAGATTTTCTGTTGAAGTTGTGATCTTTTTAAAAAATCTGGCATTTCTTTCTTTGCAGAACATATTTCTGTAGGGAAGCTCAAAAACCTTTTAAAAAAGATACAAGAAAAAATTTAATAAATACAATTAAAATATTTTGGTATTAAACTTTATTGTGAAAGTATGATAGCAAGTCCTTAGCAAAGGACACTGAATGTTTACAGATACAAAGGGTCCACATTGAGATCCACATTTCAAAAAAAGTATAAATACCCTCCAAAACCTATACCACTTCTTGTAAACTGTACTTAGTTATCTGCAAAAACTTTAAAAGTATATTCTATTTGTGGAAGTTGGGTTAATGACTCTTTTTTTATTTCTATGTAAAGGTCACTCTCTCAGTAATAATGCAGACCTTGATGCAGGTTACAGGTTCCTGGTTTTTTTTTAATTCCATGATTCACTGTAGAGGTAAATAGCTGCATCAAAAGCAGCTGGCAAAGCTTCAGAGATTCATCAACTACATTGGATATCAATCATCAGTCAGGGTCAGTGCAAATCTTTGGTGAAATAAAGAAAAAATATTATTAAGGGGGAACTGGGATTTTGAGAGCATTGTGGTAATTATTGTGTGCATGCCCAGAATCAGTTGAAAAAGGAATAGATAGCTATGAACAGAATAAGAGACCAGGTTGTTTCTATATTCCCTTCATACGGCTCTTCTCATCATGTTTCTCACTGTGACTCATGCTTTCCTTCCTTATTAGCTGTTGCACAAACCATCTCTTCTCTTGTGGTCCCTTTTCCCCACTAAAGAACCTCATATATTTTATGAGTTGGCTGTCTCATTATAACAAACCCAAGGAGATCCATCACATTGGTGTTAGTGACAGAGAAAAATGAGAGGACTAGAACAGATGCAGAGCCACCAACTTCCAGAGAGAGAAGGATATATTTCAAGAGTGATTTGAAACACAATAAACTGGATTTGTTCTTAGATGATAGACTTAAAAATTGCCAATATAGTTATTAGACCATAAATTAATTGTTTATCTGCATACAAATAAACTGGTGAGTAGGTCTGGGAAGTCAGACAAAAAGTTCCTAGTAGATATATGTTTCTAATCCTTAAATTAGATGCTGCGTAAGCCTCTACTTCAGTGAAGTATACAGAAATTTAGATTATATTACATGTAGCCTGAGATACTACCTTTTAAGTGGTTCAGTATAAAAATCTTTTAAACATTAAATTCCTGTCATTAGGTTGTCAGGTATTCATTTCATTTGCGGAGTATCACCTATGGCTGTGCAAAACAGTACAAACCAAGAAAAATCTAGTAAAAAAAGAAAAATCCACTAAATGGCCAGATGGACCTGATTATCTAATGTCCTGGGAAGAAATGAAACCATGAACTAGCCCATACAACAATCACTTGTTAAAGTCCTCAATAGACGTATGATAAAATTTTCAGAACATAAAACCTCATGGTTATAGACATGAGATAATCTCTAGCTAGTGGAGGAGAAGAATAAATGTCCCAGAAGCACAGATTGTGCTATATTTCAAAAGTAAAAGTAAACCAATCAGGGTGTAATTGACATTGTGAAAGATACCCCATGTCTACTTTAAGAAAACAAACCAGTACACAGGCTCACTTATTCTGCTATTATTTGAGCAGTTCAGCTCAAATACCAGTGTTAAATGACTGAATGCAGTGGAACACAGCTACTGTTTCTGTTTTTACTAATGGTCTAGCTGAATAGTCTGTGAAGTACTTCTAATTAAAAGTGGGGCTGCTTGTGGGAAGTTCAGCAGCATTAGGGGCTCCCATAAAAGTTTGTGCTAGTTCAGCTAAATCTATGAGAAATATCTCATAAATTTTTCTAGCATAGTGAAGTTCCAAAGAGGTTTGTAGTACCATGTGAATTAGAATGACACCAGTGAAAGAAATGGAAAGCATATAGTTTATTAATAAGGAGGTCTTAACTTAATATGTAATCATTAAAGGATGGTGATTCATGTTTGCTCTGCACAATGTCTTTGGTGTTTCATAAAGTAATTCCTAGGCCTGTAACTGCAAAAGGCAAGAAATGCTCAAATTCATACCTGAATGGGAGGGAAGAAGAACCCCTTATCAAACTGAGGGGAGCAAGGTAAAGTGGAAGACAAAAAAATTATTTTCAGCAATCAGTTTGGGAACTAGCTATGGTTTTTAGCATCCGGTTCTGCCCATGTACATTCCTGTATGTAATAAAACTTCCAAGTGAAGCCAGTGTGCTTTTTCTACCTTTCCTTCTTTTTTATTTTTTTAGCTCTAGTTATCCAGAGCTTGCTTTATGAGTTGCATTGAATGTTTAGATATGGATTACAAAATATTTTTAAATGCTAGAATCTACAGCCTTGATTTGAGCAAGAGTAAAAAATTGAGGTAAAAAAAGTCAGGATGTGTTTATACAAGCATATTTTGTTAATATTTTGGACTTAAGGAATTCAAAAGGAGTTCAGTTTTGAAGACCAACAGATAAGTTTAAAATGTGCATTACTTTACCTTGTTGAGATAGATGACTTGGAATCTGTATTTCAAAGTGTACGTATATGCCTTGCAAAGTGCTCAATGGGTTTTGTTGTTGTTTTCCAAAACTTGACTTGTTTCGTGTAATAGCAAGATAAAATCAGCTTTGTCTTTCTCTAGCTGTGTGAGGCACATGAAGAACACTGTTTAAATTGTTGTTTAAGCTTTTCAGACATCTAGGCCTCCTCAGCATTAGTGAGTCACGGTGCAGGTGCAGTTCACAGCTGGGAACAGTGACAAAGGACAAAGTGAATCAGTTTCTTTTTCTTTTCAAATCTTCTGTAACATAGAAACACAGATGTGGAGTTACTAGGGAGTGAAATTTGATTTCACTTTTGCCTTTCAAAACTGAACCATAGGAAAAAAACCTTGGTAGCAAGTATTTGAAAGTCTTATGTGTCTGACAAAAACCACAGAGTGTATTATGGGTAACATTTTGCTTTGAGTAGAAAGTGCAAGCTTGCTGAACTTGATACAAATGACCTGAAAGGTTTAAATATGAAGAAAAGGGAAAATAAAGAATGAATGAGAGCTGGAATTAAATGCTAACTACATTCACCCGCTCCAGTTAAATGCAAGGTTGTTTCACCTAGATTTGGCAGGCACACAGATGAAACTGCAAAGACATATCAAAGGCTTGTGGTATTTTATATGAAGCCACTTTCAGAAGTTATAGCATGTTAGAACACATGCAAAAGCATTTCCAACAGCACTGTCAGTCTGCCAGAACTGCAACCCATGTCACAGCAGTTTTTCTGTCCTTTCTGGGTATTTTTTCTTGAGGAAAGAAGAAAGGCATGTAGGAAGCTTCTCGTCTTAGGCCTTTCCATGCTCATCTCTTGCTGTTGGTAATGCTTATTGGTTTTGCTGCAAACTGGACTATTCTGTACTGTTGAACTGGAGTTAAATAGTCGCTCCAGTAAATTGGTGTTAACTGGCAGAGGTACTTGGGATCAATTGCTCAGAATTTCCAGCAGTAAATTTCCATGCCAGACATAGCAGTTTGAACCCCTTTATATTTAATATGTTTTTTGAGGTGTGCAGTTCGGACTCTTCAAACTTCAGGACACCTGCCTATCTTAAAGCATGTGAGAAGCTCTGTTGACTTTTACTAAATTAGAGTTCTTCCTTTTTTGAAGTATACATATATGTTTTCAGAGCCTGTGTTAGAGCATGTGCATACCAGCTGGAATGTGCCATAGTAAATCTGTGTTACAAAGGAGGTGTCATTTTCCAAAGCCTAGTTATTAAACATTCTCTGAGCAGATAACTAATAACTTTTGGATATACAAGTAGAAAAAGATTCTGGCTGTGATTAAGAAAGCCAGAGAATTACATTATTTATAATCCTTTCCACATACTTCAATGCACTAATTAGATTACCAAGGAGGAACCCTCTTAAGATAGCCAGGGAGAAACTTTCTGAGACATGTTCAGGCACCTGCAGGAATCTGCCAGCCAAATGCCTGCTGTAGAGATGGAAAATCATCTTTTCTGTGGTTACAGCTTTTATGCTGTCTTCCATAGTAACACTAAGGCAGCTCAACATTACTGCAGCTTGTTTTTAAGTCCTGAGTGCTGGAGAACTAAAAAAAAAACAACCCAACAAAAAAAAACACAAACCAGAAAAAAAACAAGAAGCCTTTCATAAGAAAAAAGAGAGGAAAGGAAGGAAAAATCCCAGACTTTAAGGGGTCATCTGGGTGCACTGAGGAGCTGAAGTGCTGTTAAAGAAACACTGCTCTAACTTCCTCGACTCCCCACTAACACATACTGCTTTTCAAAGTTGAATTTTGGGGGGGTCTGGTTTAATTTGGGGGGCTGGAAAACTCATCTGTTTGTGCTGCTGGTAGTACACAACACCTGAGTCACTTCCTGGGCAAGCCACATTAAATCTGGACAAATACCTGGCAAGACAGAGCTCCTGCTGAGAGCAGTTTGCAGTTCCAAATAGCGATACTCATTAGAGGATATAGATACTACAAAGTTGACTACACCAGGTGAGAAATTTGTGATGAATAAACACAAGCCTAATTTTTTCTGAACTTGGAAAAACTCAGTTTGATAGTAGTTAGTCATTTTTTTCCTACAAATTTTCCTTCCAGCTCTCTGTAGAACTGCTCTGAGAGGAGGAGGAAATATATTCTTCCCATGACTTTATTGCTGATAGTTTCTTCTGAGAAGCCTATTTTTGCATAATATCTAAGTATTTGTCAGCAATTTTCCCCATAAAAGGCAGTATTTCCACATCCTCTTTTGTAGTCAGTGTAAATTTACATATTCTTTTAAGTCTGTTTTGGCTGTATTTCTACTACCATTCAAGGCAAAGCGTAGGGAGTGGGACAGGGTTTAGGGCTGGTACTCCCAAATAGAAGTACATTTCTTCTATTTAAAGCTCTCCCCAGTGGTTGGTATTGGTAATAGTATTCTTCATTTCCTCACCAGAATGTTTCCACTTCTCAGAGATACAAGTCATCTTTCTCATTCCATTTTATGGCAGCGTCAGGGCACTGAGTAGGCTAAAAAGCCTTAATGGCTCTGACCAGCCACACCTGGGACCACCCCAACACCCAGGGCCTCTATTTAGGCTCAGCCCTGGGTACTAATTTCTTGCCTGAGCTGTGCTGGAGGAGAGCTGGTCTTCAGCTCAGCCATGGTCTGGTGAACTGGGACTCAACCTCTGGGCTGACTTCCATACTTGACCTCAGACTTAACCTCATCACAGTGATATTGCTGTATGATTTACAGTCTGTGTTGGACGTGGCCACTGTCTGTGAGTCTATTCTGCTGTGAGACTGGGCCCAGGGTGGTGAGGCCGCTGTTTGGCCAGCTGTGGGATTCCCTTGGGATCACCTTCTGTTGGGGAGCAGCTGGCCCTTGTTACATTACAAACCCTTCTGAGGGACCAGCCTTCACCTGGACTCTGATCCCCCCCAGAGCACCGGTCCTTTACTGACCACTGGGCTCCTAATGAATTCTCTTCCAGGCTGCTGTGGCTCATCAGAAACAGCCCAAAACCTCTGTCCCACTCAGGTCCTCCTTGCCTCTGTGGGTTTTCAGGGGTGGCCTGACACTTCCACAGTGATTTAGTCCCTCTACAGTGAGTCCCTACTGATCCCAGACTTGTGTGAGGATATGCCTTGCTGAGAAGGGAGGCTGTTGATACTGCCCTGAGGGCACTAATTGGCCTAATGACCCTAACAAGCATCACCTGTGGCCTCCACCCACACCCAGGGGCTCTATTTAAGCTCAGCACTGCTAGAGGAGGGGTGGTCTTTAGTTCAACTGTAGTTATGTCTGGCTATGGAGTCCCTTGAGCCTGGCTTCAACCCATGGGCTGATATTGTGGCTTTGCCTCATCCCTGTGGACCTGTGTGCTGACTGCTGGACCTGATCCTAACCCTGAGTTCCTGGCTTGATGTTGAACCCGCCTCATTGCTGTGATATTGCCTTGTAATCTGGACTCTTGGTTGGATCTGGCTGCTCTTTCTGTATCTGTTTTGCTTGGATGCTGTGGGACTGGACCCTGATGGAGGAGGTACTGCCCCACCAGCTGTGTTATCTCTCTTGACTCTGGGATCCCCATTCCTTAGGGAGTACCTGGCCCTTGCTGCACCCTGATAAGCAATAAGGAGATCCAGGTACAGTAATATGATGCATCCTGTGGCTTAAGCGTAATTTTGAGTAGCAAAGAACTGTATTTGTGGGGGGAGGAGAAAAGCTGAGTGTGGGGCTCTGCTGTATTTAGCTCTTGGTCTTCTGGCATATTTACTTTGGAAAGTAATGTGTTATGGAATGGTTGTGTTCCTCTTCTTGCTATGAAAATTCAGTTGGGATGGTGTTAGTTCTGTTGCTTTTCTTTCCTGCTAGCACAGGGCATAGCTTCTCCTGCTGCAACTAGTGTCTCTGCCTGACTGCAGAGTTGGGTAGATGTCTGTGCATTGGTTGTGTGCAGGTCAGTGCTTTCAAAGCTTTCTTCTCAACTCTGTGGAACTACGTTTTAAAACCAAAAGAATAAACACTGCAAGCCTATGGTTTCAAGCCCACAGGGCCAACCCTTGCAGTCTTGGGAGAGTGGAAGCAGCCAGCTACAAACTGTGAGAGCAGTCATCCTAGGTCCAGACCATTGTTGGATCCAGAACAGTGGCCAGTTGTGAATGCTTGCTGAAGAATGTAGAAGCAGGATAAATCTGCAGTGATGCTTAGTGTACTCCTGTGGTTTCCTTATGCACAAATCCGAACACTGTTGATCCATATGTATCTCCTGATACTTCTCTACTTTTTTCCTCTTTCTTTCTTTTTTTCCTGCTTGTTGGGGAAAAAAGGTACTGCATTGCAGTGAATCAGATGTTTGTTTCTGGCCTAGGTAACAGTCACAACAATTGGTTATGGAGACAAAGTTCCCCAGACATGGATTGGGAAGACAATAGCTTCCTGTTTTTCAGTATTTGCTATATCTTTCTTTGCTCTGCCAGCGGTAAGTAGAACTTGGATCACTTTAATAAAGTCTCTGTCTGACTTGGGCTTACAATTAGGTAGTTTTAAATTAGTGCCTTTGATAGGAAATAATGGGGTTGGGTGTTGCTTGAGAACGTGCACACGTGTGTCCTCAAGTGTGTGTATGTACACACACATGCAAACGAGTGAAACTGCTGTATCTTTACTGCAGTCATTTTAGAGAGGTGTGGCCTAGAAAGGAGGCAAGAGTAATTTTTGCTACTTGGAGAACTGAAGCTACTCTGTGAGGTAAAGGAAAGAGAGGTTTGTTTTTTTATCAGCATGTCAGTGCTGGAGGTGAAAATTCCTTTGTTTCTGCTATTTTGTGATTATATAACAACAATTTGGGGTCCTGTGAGGAGAGGAACACTGCCATGAAGCAGAGGTCTAGGAAACTGCATCTGCTTTCCTACATGGTACTATAAAACATCTTTGGGCTTTTTGGATCTTCAAATAAAGGAATGGGGGGGCGGGGGAAATAAAGACAACAACATCAAAACAATTAGAAAAGACAGAGTATTTCTTCAGTAACTATTTTTCAACAGAAATGCTGACATAAAGCATATCTTTAGCTTCTTTGCTCAATTTGCCTGGAAAATCAAGCTGGATTCTGGCTTTAGTTGTGGGTTTTTTTTGTGGCAAGGAATTAAAAATAAGTTCAAAGAATAGCTGTAGATCAGTCATGTGACATTGGCATTTGCTTCTCCCACCATTGTGTAGGGTTGCCTTTGGAACGTGACTCTCTGAATGCCTCTGACTAACGTTACCTGTAGATCACAGCAATAAACACATACTGTTTATTGAAGTTACATGATGCCAATATCAATGTGCTCAATTTCAGGTTTATTTGTTGGAATAAATAGAATTCTGTCACTGTGGACATTTGAAAATTTAGAACTTTTCTAGGACAGTCTTTTATAAAATGTCTATTTCATATGCCAAGTATTTGTTTTAGGCATGTGAAGTAATATTGCAGTCTGACTAGTAATTTTGGTTATATTTAGGGTATTCTGGGGTCTGGTTTTGCCCTGAAAGTACAGCAGAAGCAACGTCAGAAGCATTTCAACAGACAAATCCCAGCTGCAGCTTCTCTAATTCAGGTAAGGCCCCTAACAGTAAAATGCTTAGGAGAGTATTATAGGGGGAGTGTGGCCTAGTAGTTAAAGTACTGAGAATCACAGTTACTAGATTTATTCTTAATCTGTAACTTGTTTAACTGTTTTGTCTTTTTGATCCATTTCAGTCACTAGAGAGAATTAGATAATTGCCTGTCCCGCTCTCATGAGTGAACATAGGAGGTTTTACTAACCTGAGATTCACAGGCATAATGACACTTACTGGATGCAACGAGTCTATTTAGTGAAACAGTAAAAAAATCTTTGTTATAATCTTTAATTCCTAACTTCCTTAGGTCCTGTGCATCTGCCAAATCCTGAGGTGATGAATGTGTATACATGTACACACACACCTCAGTTTAGAATAATGTCCCAGCATGACATTCTATATGATAATGTAAAGAATGCAATAGCATGGTGCACAAATACTAAAATGCGGCACACTGCAGAAAGAGGGAAACAGCAGTATTCTATGATGCTTGTGGGGATTTGCTTTTATGAGGGTGGTTTGGATTTTAGAGGGTTTTTTGGGGGGTGTGGGGTCTTGTGGTTTTGTTTTTGGTTTCTTTTTACTGTGGGCAGGGTTAGACCCCAGCTCCTAGGGGGAATGCTACAAAGAGCATCCTTAAGATCCCTGTGTGCTGAACGCATGTTTCCTGGTGCAAACTGTACTCACCACAGTTATATACAGGGAAGAATGTATTTTATTGGGCATGGCGCTGTGTGGTGTAGTGCAGTGATTGCAGTCAGAACTCTTTGCAGCATGTTTACATTGAAGATTCTGCTGTTAGTTTGATTTGCAGCAAAATCTGACTTACCTGTCCTGCAGAATAATAGTGGCTGCTTTTTCATCGAGATTATTGGGTTTGGGTTTTCTTATAGACTCTGTGGCGGTGCTATGCAGCAGACAAATCCTGCAGTTCTACGGCGACATGGAAGATCTATGTTACATCACCGATGCAAAATCCCAAAAAACCACCAGCGCCATCTAGCCCTAGTCTGAGAAAACAGGTAACGGAGAGTTGGCAGAGCTCTATTCTCTTCTCGTTTTTACTTCGATTGGCATAACTTGCCAAAATCCTTATGAAGTGTCCAAAGAATTTGGAGAGCTGAAAAGCATTTGTAATGGGACATTTGAATGTTTTCCTCATGCCACAGCATGATTAGTTTAGTCTTCCTTAAAATATTCCTGAGGGACAAATGTCTTCTCATTTTCAGTTTGCCCTGGTGGTCAGACAGGTGCCAGTTCTCCATTGTTTTATGCCCTTTGAAGTCTCTTCTACCTTCTCAAAGGGTAGTGTAAGTCAATGATAACACTTGCCCATTTTGCATTCATTTTGCGTGGTAGTTCATACAGAAAGAGGAGAAAGCTAGTTTAAAAATTTTGTTTGCATTCAACATGTGGCTGACAATATAGGTGCTTTTCTTGCCTAAGTACTTCTCTCCATGGTACTTTTATGTGGAACTGTGTGTAGAAAGTTGGGCAAATTCCTGAGCTGTGGCTGCAGTAAAGTGGAATAGTGTTTGTCTACACAGGTGGGATTGCCTAAATATAGTTGTGTAGTTTCATTGGCAAGCTTGCCTAGCCTTCAGCACCCCTTGTAGAAGGGTCCAGGTCTGCAGCTGGTCTAGCTTAGATACCCAGTGATGCTAGAGGCCTGGGTTTAGGCAGTGAAATCCTACTGATGCCTGTTGCCCAGTGGAGAATTGCGGTACAATTTCCCCGCAGCATGCGTAGAAAGCAGTATTGGCATGATCTCTGTGCATGTATATGTTTCGGTGTTAGAGCAGTGCAATCTACTTGGTGTTGAGCAGAGTGTAACTTTGCCATGAGACTAGCTTCTTCGTAACTAGAGGCAGAAAAACCTGGAGGAAAGGAGTAAAGCTGAAGTAAGGCTGGGTAGTATGTTTTACTGAACAACAAGCAATCCATGGTGGGAGACCTGGAAAAAAAAATGGCAGCTTTTAGTGCCCTTAGTATTTTCCCTCTGTTTTTTCTAGTGAGAGGCATTTCCCTAATATATTATCAAACCTAAACTTCCCTGTGAACTGCTAACCCTAAATCAAGAAAATAATAATGGTTCTTTCATCTCTTACCAATGGATCATCTTCCCTTGTCAAAGGAGACTAGTTCTTTCTCTACCTAGCCTCTCATTTTAAAGGCTTAAATGTATATTGATCATCTTGTGCATGTTGTAGCATTTTGTTCTCCAGAGAATTCCTAGTTTCTTTTCCTCCTATGAGAGACCAAAATCTTTGCCTTTAGAAGCATTTTGATGCACTGCAGAGCATCCACTCTCTACAATAAATGCTCCTTTCCACTATTTTTCATGCCCTGTTTGATTAATTTTGAACATGCTTTTTGTTTGTGCAGCTCTGCAGCAGTTAGAAGAATGAAATCCAAAAGACTGAATGCAGACCATAATAAAATAAGAATTGGTTTACTTAGACCAAACAGCAGTGTCCCATTTGTGAATATATTGAGCCTGCAGCTGTTTATGTTGATGTGTGCAAATACTTGTTCTCTCTGTTGATGCTTATCTCTAACTGCTTAGTGGTCACATCAGAGGCCAAAGTACTTTGCAGAATTGAGTGCAGTAGTCCTATATCTCGTTACTGGAGCATCAGGCAAACTAATGTATGCCTCTTACCTCTGTTTTGAGGTGAGTAGGAGAACCAGGTGGGACTAGAGCCAAAGGGTAGGTGGCCATGAAGACTGGAAATAAATGCTATGGTGTGAGAAGTAGTATTTATATAGCTAGGTGGTGGCAGCATCCAGGAGGCAGACAGCACAGGCCATCTAGTCAGTATGAGAGTGGCTGTTATGTTGGTCGCTTCCAGTCACAAAAGCAGATGGAGACCAGCCTTGCTTGGAACCAGTTGAATCCAAACCTTCATTTTTTGTTCTTGTGTACCAATTGTAGGGTGCTTATTAGGTTGCCTCTTAGGCTTCTAAAATCAAGAGAACTTCAACTTTGGAGGCAGGAGGAAGGATTTATCTTCTCCTGATGTGCCTAATTCAGCCTTTTTTTGGTAAAAGGTGACATTTTCTGTAGTTGAAAAGGCTGTACAGTGCCTAGCTCATAGCTCAAAGTCTATGGTTATGTTTCATTAGAGCTTAGAAAGATGTTGCAGCCAAGCTGTTGTATACTCAAGTGATTACTATTTTGGGTGCCTTGAGTTTTGGACCCAGTTTGAGAAATTTTATTTAAGACCTGATTTTCAGAATGTGCTAGGCATCTTCTGAGAATCAAATTCCTACCAATTTAAGTTGGTAATTCAGAATCAGCCACTCTTACAACCTGGGTTAATATTTTCACACTTTCACTGAATTTCAATTGCATTCTTTAAAGAACCCAAACAAAATCTAAAATGAATTTACTGTATAGTGAAGTTCATGTGTACTTTTCTGGTTTTGATAGTATCTTCTGATGTCATCCCATTTCTACTTCTGCCACAGGCTAGAAGATACAAAAGAAAAGGGAAACTAGGCTGTGGTAGTGATTCTGCACCTGTAATAAACCCAGGAGAGAATGCCTTGTCTATTCCACAGATCACTTATGATCACACTGAAGAACAAGAAGGCAAAAAAGATGTATCTTTCTACATTGATGAACCAGGAGGTAATTTACTTTTACTTATGTTCAGGTTGCCATTTTTTTAAGAGGCAGTGTTAAAGTGAATTGAACTGATGCAGGGAAAATTTCTGTGAAAAAATAATTTTAAACTAATCAGTAAAGCAAGATGCCTCAAACTGAGGACAATTGCATAACAACAACAGGGGGACACAAATTAAAGAAATCTTTAGATTCCTGTGGTGTGAACGTCAAAAGAGCTTTCTTTGTTTACCAAAGTTAACTCAATTAAGATATTGGATATATAGTTAATTCTGATTTTTTTTTTTAATTATCTCAGAGGTTGATGGAAAGCTTCCTCAGATCTACCCTACCTTTAAACTTTACCTCAGAGCCTGAAGGAAGGAAAATGAAACAGGAAAAATCTTTACTTTTTTACAGCATCTTCTTAAACATTGTGCAGATAAATTGTGGTAGGCACAGCTAATTTTTTTTTATGCCTATGTCAACCAAGAGGTTTTGGCAAGTGTTTTTTTTCCTGCTTCATTTAAAATATTGTGTGTTGCTCTAAGTGGCTGTTGTATTTCAACTTGGAAACTGGCCAAATTTCACTGCTGAGCTAAGATACTGCTTTGTTTGTAAAATTCTTTTTTAAATTGAGTTTGTAGTGGAAATGTGGGTATGAAATATTGTTTACTATAAAATGAGGGGGTTTTTTTTGAAAGCTAATTTTTCCACCTTTGTGTTGATTTCCTTTGTCTGATGGGCTTGGGGAAAGTTGTGCTAGTTCTGGATCTGCTAAATCTTTAGCTCAAGGGAAGGTTGTTTCCTCATAGTCTGAGGAGTTATGCTCCATACCTAGAGGCACGCAAAGCCTTGCCAAGTTAACTGAGGTATCCAAAGATGCTGGCCCTAGTCAAAGTTATATTATGTGGTGCTTTGCTTAGGTTTTCATCTGTCTTTGATAAACCTGAACACCAATTCTGTATGAAATTGCTACTCTTTGGAGACATTGAAGCTGACACACAGTTTCAGCCTGGAGAGAGTATGACTGTAGTCTTGACATGATGGTTTCTCAATTAAAAGTACTTTAAATATTTTTGTCCCCAGGGGGAATATGTAGTGTCTTCTACCTTTGATTGTGTTCAATATGGGAGTTTCACTGGGTTGCTTTAGCTTTACAGAGTTGCTAGATTGTATTGTCAATGCAACCGATGTCATCCAAGCTAGAGCTGTCAGTCAGATGTGGAACAGCAGAGATCTGAGAGCTGTGGCATATTGAGGCACATCTGTAAGGGGTAGAAGCATCTGGCTCCCACGGGGATTTAGAAAGACCTTCAAGCCTCTGCTTCATGCAGCTGATAGCCATGAACTGCCATTGTGGGAGGAAGAATTTTTCTTCCACTGATGGAGGTTTTCATTACCCCTCATGTTCTTCCGTATGTTTTATAATCTTACATAAATCTTGTATCTGTCACTTTGAGGTCAGAATGCTTTTCAGCAATGGTGGTATTTTGATTGTTGTTTGGCATTTCCAGTGCTTTTATAGGGTTCTGGGAAAGGGGATGAAGGGTGTGATTTATAAAGTTGCTGCTTTAACTACATGTCTCTTAAACATGCTGAGAATGAGCATAGCATTCTGTTGTTATATCTGTGCAGCTTCCCTTGCTGACCTATCAGCTACAAGTAGCTGATTTTGCTGAGTGTATTTTTCTATTGTGGTATGAGTCAGTGATGGACAGAAGAAGCAAAGTGGTGTGTAACTTGTAACAGTACTGGAGACAGTAAAGGTGTTGAGGACTATGTTGTCTGTATTCGTGACTCTGCCAGTGGACATCTATTTGCTTACGCTATATTTCTTAAATGTCCATGGTTAGTCTGAGCAAAGCTTTGTGCATCAGAGGAAAAAGATTGAAAAGACAAGCCTGTATTTTTTTTGCCTGACAGCTTGGTAACAGAGGAAAAGGAAATACTTTTCTCCACTCTTTCTGAAAGTGTTTTCTTGTTGTACTTTTATTATAGCTGGTCTCATTTATTCTTGTTCTGAGACAGCCATGTGTATTATTCCCTTACCAATTAAGTTTTATCTATTTTTCATTTTCTTTCACGTTTTACCTTAGCCAGTGTCAAGGCTAAGTCACACTTCATTTGACTTTTCTGATTCATTCCTTCTGTTGCAAAGCTTCCAGGAATGTAGTTGGCAAACTCGTTTGCTCAATTGACTGAACATTCTTGACACCTCTCAAAAGTTTAAACCTGATTTCTCTCAGTGAAGTTCTCCTTGCCAGAATTAATAGGCTTCTATTCTTGGGAAGTGGAAGTACTAGGCTTCAAGCCTGTAAATGGGGGTATTTTTCCTCTCTTAAAAAGCTGAAAGCAGAAAAAGCAGAGAAAATAATAATTAAAAAAAGGCAATTGAAAAAGGCCATGCCAGCTTCTCTTTCAGTGTTGCTATAGTGGAATATTTTATTCATTGGTTGTGGGGGTGGATGTTTTACAGATGATGGCAAACTTTTGAGGTTGAATTAGATCACTTTTTTATAGGCCTGACCTAGGAGGAGCAGAGCTGTTGCTTTAAAACAGCTCTTCTAGTCTGCTGCTCTGGTCAGCTGCAAGAGAGACTGTAGGGAGACCTGAAACAAATGCCTGGCAAGTGCAGGCAACAGAATAACAGTTCCATGAAGAAAACACCTTGTTCTGGGCAGAAATAGACTGAAATTAGGTTAAAATTTCCTTTTCCCTACCTTAATTCAGGAACTGCATTGCATAAGCATACCTTTTTTTCATGAAAATAAGGTTTTTCTTGGGATGTCCTGTTCCTGTATCCATGTCCACCCAGCATCCTCTTGGCTTGCTCAAACTTGCTTAGGAGGCATATCTTTCAAAGCGAGGCAAAAATGCTTTCCTCTTCTATATGAAGAAGGCTTGAGAAAAGGAAAGCCTTATAAAGCCTAAAGATACGATCAACATTAAGGCTTCTGAGATACTTCTGTATGTGTAATAAAAAACATGTATTGGATAGTGCATAATGCAGAAACTAAAACTTTACATACCAGAAGTGATGGAATCTTGAAACAAGCACTTGATAACCTAAAAGGAAAATAGTTCCTGACTTAGTTCTGAACCATGCATGGGGTTTTGGGTGTGACTAATGTGAAGTGCTCTGTAACCCTAAGAACTTGACCATCCTTGCAGGAATGGAAAGGCCAAAAGTCTTTGGCAGTAATAGTTTCCTTGTTTCAAGTCAGTCCTCTCAAAATGAGGAAGCTATTTAGAAAGAAACTAAAAAGGAACAGCTAAAGAAAACATGGATTTAAGAAAAACAATTCTGGAAAATAACTGTGATGCTGAAGATACTCTAGTGCAGTATATTCTTTTCATGGATATCTATTGCTTTTACTGAGGAACTCTTTCATACTAGGGTGTATAGTTTAATTTTTTCATGTAGTGGTTTAAAACCCTCAGTGATTTCATCCTAACCTGAGATTATAGCCATAATTGTTCTCTATAGTCCTGAAATGGATCTTTACCTGTACTTCTGTCAGCCATTGTGTACATGCTCCCCTGCAGCGGGGTCTGTTATCAGGATGACAAGACATGTATGAACTCTCTGGCATCTTTAATATTCCTATAAGATTTAAAGAAGGCACTTCAGTATTAAGATGGTGTTACTTATGATAGCAAGAGTGAGTGGCAGGTCATAAAGACTGATCCAAATGGAAGAAAAAACAAATAACATTTGAGTGTAACTGAAATTTTTTACGTGCACTTGAGTTTCATCTTTAAATAACAGCTATTTGCTGCAATGTATGCTTCTCAAAATGAACTGAATAGCTGTTTCATAATGCTTTTTATTAGGGAGGAAAAAAATTATAAAAATGTGAAAGTTTTTGGACCTTGAAGGTCAACCTCCTGGGACATCTTCAGCAGATGGAATATATTATTCTCTGTCAGATATTGTAGGTTGTATGCACAAGTCATTATTGTAAATTTGTCAAAGTCACAGGACTCTCAGAGTGATAAATCTCTGCTGGGGTAAAAACAAAATTCCCTATTTATCACTGTGCTTTTCTGTTTGCTTTTGGGAATTTCTTGCATGCTGACATATTCTGCCCCTCCCTCCTTCCCCCTCCATATTTAAAGCAAAACTGCACAAGAGTAACTTTAATTTTTGATGACCCCCAAAATACCTTTGTAAGCCCTCTTATATAAAGTGTGTAAGGGTGTTAATGTTGATTTATTCTGTCTGTAATGCTAGTTTGGATGCTGACATTCCAGAATTCACCTATCTAGTAATGGGTTGGCTGTTCCTGGAAACTGGCTGCATTTCCGTTGGGGAAAAGGGTTACTTTCCCTCAGTGGTGTAGATGGATTACAATCTGCAGTACATATAAAGAAGCAAGCATTTTAATTTAAGTGGATTCATAGATTCCAGTGCTGACAAGCTGAGTGAAAGGTGAGAAAAAACATGTGGCTAAAATTAACAGTATAAAGCAAACAGCAAAGCTTTTGAGGCTCTGCATAACTGTCAGTAAGTCAGAAAAGCATAAATATAAAGATATGTTCCAAGTTAGTAAGAGAAAGTATCCAGATACCATGCTTCTGAAAAATGTCATACTCTTAAGGTGAGTTTAGCACATGCTGCTGGTTTTGCAGTGAGAATCTATATTCAGCATAGGGCTCTCCAACTTCTAAATTTGTCAGTCAGTTCAGGACTTGTAGGCACTAATGGTACTTGCCTGGGAGTAAGAATTGTGGAAACTTACCTCTATGCCTCTACCAGAGAGTTTTCAGTCTTTGCTGTTTCAGCCCTGGCTGTCCTGAGTGAGAACTTCCAGTGAATTCTGTGGTTTATCTTGCATGACTGAAGTGGATGGTAGAACTGGGAGTGGTGTAAGGGGAGATGGAGGCTGAGAGGAAGAGAACAGCTACTTCTGCCAAACTCACTCTTACTTCTGATTAAATCTGGCAGCTTTTGAGGTTTAAAAATTTATTTTTGTTCTGCATTTATTCAACTCCTTGTTCTGCCTGATTTAGGACCAGAGTTT